AGGCAAATATTCCGTGGTCCACCGTTTCCACAAGCGATCTTTGAGATTCTGCGCTATTCGCCACTGCTTCCTCAGACAAATTTTCTCATCGACCGGATGCGGGGTTTGAGTTGAGTTAACGCACCCGATCAGAAAGTGGTTCGGTGTGAGTGGCTCATCGTCTTCGTGTGACAAAGGCAAGTCCGTTAGCGGGCGGGAGTTTATAATACTCTCAGCTTCAATGAGTACAGATTGTAGGGTGTCGACTCTCGGCGCCACTTCACGCAGCGTATGACTCAGCAAGGACTTCACGATTCTAATCAGCCGCTCCCAACAGCCACCAGCGCTGGGGTTGGACGGGCAATTAAATTTCCAATCTATATATCTATTTGCGGCCTCTGCTTGTATGCGGTCGGTGTCGAATAGTTGTTCAGCGTTTTTCAACTCCTTTTGGGCACCGATGAAATTCGTGCCGTTATCACTCCTGATTCTCACGGGGGTGCCACGACGATTAATAAAATTCCGTAGGCACAGAATGAACGCATCCGTTGAGAGGTTTTCGGCTAACTCAATGTGCGCTGCCCTCACGGTCAAGCAGGTGAAGATGACACCCCACCTTTTCTCCCTTCGTCTCCTTACTGTAACATTAAACGGTCCAAATAAGTCAACGCCAGTATACGAAAATGGGCGGACATACGGGGTTAAGCGATCAGGTGGAAGTTGTCCCATCATTGGCAAGACGGGGCTAGCTTTATTTATTTTGCATTTTAAACAGTTTCGTTGTACCTTCTTTAAGAGTGTCTTTATGTGCGGAATCCAGAATCTCTGTCTTACGGCGTTGATTGTGACTGCCGTATTCTGGTGGTGGTTCTGTTCGTGGTAGTGTTGGACGATCAGTGCTGCGACAACATGATTTGACGGCAACAGAATCGGTCTGCGAGCGTCGAATGGTAGGCATGTGGCCTCGTCAATGCGGCCGTTCAGTCGCAAGAGGCCGTCCTCGTCTAGATAGGGTGTGAGGCCATACACACCACTTTGCCGGGGTAACTTGCGTGATGAGGAAAGCTGTTCGATCTCGCTTGCGAAGCACTCTTGCTGTACCTGTTTGCTCACTATACGCTCTGCCTGGTCGATTTCAGCAGCAGTTAAGGTCTTCGACAGATGTACGTCAACGGGAACCGATTTCCTCCGGAATAAAAGTTGGACTCGTATGACCCAGGCGACAGTACGTTTCAGCTTTAAATATGAGTTAAATTTAGTAAAATCTATTAGAGTTCTACTTGCCTGACAATATAGTATATAACTCGTTTCAACTTCTTCCAGAAGTCCGCTGGAACGCTCGATAATGGTGGACGGCCAATGCTCTTCATCGTTCTTCAGGAAGTCTGGGCCTTTAATCCAGTGACAGTTTTTATCGAACCTAGGTGGATTTTGCGGCCGCGTAGCGGCATCTGCAGGTTTGATGTTTGTGGGTACCCAGCGCCACTGCTCAGGGGAAGTTGCACTTACAATCTCAGAGATTCGGTGGCCCACGAAGGGTTTGTATTTTCTCTCTGAAGAGTGGACCCATTGTAAGACCGTTTGTGAGTCGCTCCAAAACAAAACGCGACTGATTTTAAATTCGTGATTGTTGACAAGCAGTTTACTTAGCCTTGTCCCTAGAACTGCGGCTTGCAGTTCAAGTCGTGGTATAGACAGAAGCCTCTTCGGCGCGGTGCGTGTTTTACCCATGACGAACGTTACGTCAACTGAACTGTCATACACCACTCGGAAATAGCCCACCGCTGCAAAGGCTGCCTGGCTGGCATCGGCGAAAATATGCAACTCAATTCTGCTGCTGTGCGAAATATTGGGTGAGTAGTATCTTGGTACTTGAAACTCTTTGATATTCGGGAACTCCTTCCACCAGCGGGACCATCTTGCAGCCAATTCAGCATCTAACTTCTCGTCCCATCCAATGCCTAGTCTCCAAGTGTCTTGTATTATGATTTTCGTAGTTATCAAATAGTTCGCTAGTAGCCCAAATGGGTCGAAGACTGCCATCACTATGCCCAGTAGTTCTCTTTTTGTCGGAGCGCGAATTCCCTCTAGCACTGGCTGCGGTACGCGATGGAATTTTGTATGGAACTCGAAAGTATCGTCTCTGGTATTC